GGGGAATGGGCGCTTATTGATCGGAAGTTGGATGGTTGGCGGAATATAAAGCAATCCTGCTCCTCAGCGCTCAGTCGACATTCTTATCGCTCACTTGCTTGTGCATTATAACAGGCTATAAAAGAATCGAATGCGGACGGAAAGAAAGACCTTGACAGGACTTACTCAGTTGCCTTTCTTCCCTCCCTCCATCCCTGCAGAACCTTGTATAAGAATTGAAGGATTATCCATCAAAGACGTACGTCATTCAAATCCTTTTCAAATCCTTTTCATCCTCTTGAAAAGTACGAGTCAACGGCAAGATCGGCGCTGTCCCGTTTGTTGTCTACGAGACCAAAAGCTATCGGCCGAAATTAGCCCGGTAATCCAGGGACAACATGTCATCATGGTTCACCTTGTGCTCTTGGCCTGCTTTTTGTCTCTTCGCTATGACATCCTCTCTGTTGTGGTAGCTACCATGCGGTGTAATCGTGTTTCGCCGTACACGAGCCTGGTGAGCCTGAGCCTCCTACGAGACACAATGATCGAACAAAAGACGGGGATGTGCCCTAAGGTGCCGCGGCACTGAAGTGAGCTCGCCAGCTCTCTACTTGGTCTATTACTTATTCGCGTGCGTATATGGGCTCGATGTAAAAAAATAAGTAACCGCTCTTTTTTTTTTTTCAGGAATAATGGCCTGGGACTAGGTAACTGGGGACTGCCGTAATGCCAGATGCTCTCTTACCGTTCTTTCCGTTTACTCTTTTGACAAGATATCTTCATTTTCCGTCCAGACATGGTTTAAATGGTAAAAGTCCCTAACCACATACAAGATCGGTGGTTTCAACTAACCAGATAATAAGATGTACTTGTTTATTCAAAAAGGAGTCCAAGCAGATGTTTCTGGTCAACTCGTATCAGAAATTTTACACTACAGTATTTATGAACGAACGCTTAGCAGAAAAGCAGACATTCGACGGACGGACGTCATGCAAATGTTCGAGTGCTCTGTGGTCCAGTTGTCCATATGAACTCAATAAGGTTTGGGACGCAAACTCACATATTCGTCATGTTTTCAGATGTGAGATGCTCATAGTCAAATCACTTCTTGAATAGTTCTTGAACCGTTCTGCCTGACGGAAAGTTTTCCGCAGAAGGTTAACAGTCTCTGTAAAATGCATGGAAAAAATCATCGAATACCGTATATATAAGGTACAAACCAAAACTGGTTGATTAGGATATCTCATCAATTAAGTAACTTAATGTTCGTAGATTTTTCATTCCCATTTCGTCTAAAGGAGCGTCAGCCTGGTAGCCGGAATGTCTGGTAAAATCTCGCACCTCAGGATTAAGTTTGAATTGATTATACAATTCGAGATTAAAGAAGCTGATCTCGGTTTCGTTTTCTGGAATCGTAAGTAAATATGAAGTAGAAAAGAAAATTTGATATATGACACGTGCCTACTCCCAAGTTCGCTAGAATCGCTGAATTATCTTTAAAGATGTATTCTTCATGATCCAAGTTGATGATAAGATTCGAGGTCTAGAATAATGTAAGAGTAAGTCCTATAAACAGCAATGAGGTAATAGTCACTTTAGAGCCATGAGCCTTGTTGTAGAGTTTCAGGGTATCTGCCAACGACATCATCATGAAATGCAAGAAACCATAAAAACACTAAAATACCTACCAAAAGTGGTGGTACGGTAAGGTTTCCAACCTGGTTGCGTCTGGATAGCTATAAGGATCAGCCAATCAGAAAGACTTGCAGGAAATGTTGGGTGGCGTACTACTTACCTGATCGAACTTGATCTTTCAAACCTCCTACGGTTGTTTGCTCCAGGTTGACACCATGTAAAACCAAACTCTTTTCCACTCTGTATTCGAATGATTTTACAACCCTGACTGTAATCGTTGCAGCGGTTTTCGGGAGAATCGAACTCGTGAGATCTGACATAATGGCGGGACTGAAAGGTTTGCAGCGTGACACTATGACAGGTCACGTTTGCCTCCCAACCATTCGAGCGGAGTCTCACTTATATTGCAAATAGCAAAGTTCTTCCATTATGCAACACTCAACGACTGGATGTAAGCGTGGAAAGGGATCTTTGTTCTTACGATCTACTTTAGACGTGTTTGCTTACCTTTGTGGTCTGTACAGCGACCCTTATGAGGCTTCCGAACGAACTCTGGCTTGAAATACTGGACGACTACATATACGATCGTAACGATCGATGCAATCTTTCAACTACTTGTAAGGCGCTGCGTCTGATCCTTTTGCCTTCCCTCTACCGGATTCTCACATTGGCTGCCGGTGAACGATCTCAACCTGCACCATCCGACCCTGGTCTTTCACCTACCGAGGAGATCAAAGTTTGTGGGCAACAGATAGATCATTCGTTGAAGAAGATCCAATTCTTCCTGGATAACCCGGGATTGTTGACACATGTAACTCAAGTGGAAATGTCAGAGTGGGCTATGGCACCCTCCATTCTTGACCTTCAAGAGACAATAGCCAGTAACGAGTATGTCATGGACGCCGTTTTTGAAAAGGTATATTTCAAATGGGAACGGGCATACCAAAAAATCTCCGAGCTTTTAGCAGCTCTTCCAAATCTTCACGTTCTCAAATTCGACTCTTGCCCCATCACCCCTCGCCTTCATACGTCTTTCGCTACAAAAGGATCCCTTCGCTCACTCACGATATCGAGTTTCCCAGACCCCTTTAACCAACAAGTCAGAGATCCTGTCTTTGATCTCTCTTTGAAGGCGTTTCATATGACACTCAGCGATAGCTCCCCGAAATCCGTAACATATTTGGGTGCATTGTTCAAGTCATGTGGTTCCTCCCTTGAAGAGGTTACAATTTGCTGGAGTGTTATGTCGCGGATATCTGATCATGGCGTTGACGTTTTTCCGACCATTCAGCGCCTCACCTTGCACGGATACAACCCTAATGCACTTTCCTTGGACCGCTTTATCGCCTCATTGAAGGACCTTCGCGCCCTGGATATGGCCTTTTGGCTTGAAGATCATCTGCAACACGTTCCTCTAGACGCAGTACCCTATCTGGAATCTTTGACATCGAGTCTCAGGGTGGCGAGGATTCTAGTTCCAGGACGCCCGGTTAACAAAATTCGGTTACGCGGATGGTTTGAAGACATTAATCTGGAGGAACTATCCATTCTAAATCAATCGACTGTGCCGATTGTCTACTTTGAAATGGATTCCATGTCTGTTTCTCCGTATACAATGGATATGAATCGTGTCGTTCAGTTGGGGGACATATTCAC